CCAAAGGCGCGGGATGACAGGCTGAGCCACCAAGCCCGGCTCACAATTTTTAATAATTTATTTTTATCTATTTATTTATTTTTGAGTTAGTGTCTCACTTCATTACCCAGGCTGGAGTGCAGTGGCATGCTCATGGTTACTCCAGCATTGACCTGCTGGGCTCAGACAATCCTTCTGCCTCAGCCTTCCAAGTAGCTGGAACTACAGGCGTGCTGCGCCTCCTACGTCTGTCTAATTTTTTTTATGTTTTCTTTTTTTTTATTTTAGAGATGAGGTCTCACCAAGTTGCCCAGGCTGTGCTCGAACCCAAGGGCTCAGGCAGTTCCCTCACCTCAGCCTCCCAAAGTGCTGGGATTGTAGACTTGAGCCACCACGCCTGGCTTTTATTTTTAAAATTTATTTTTAGAGACAAGGTTTTGCTCTATTGCCCAGACTGGCGTACAGTGGCATGATCATAGCTCACTATAGCCTTGACCTCCCAGGCTCAAGCAGTCCTCTTACCTCAGTCTCCTGAGTAGTTGGAAGTATAGGCACGTGCCACTGTACCCAGCTAATTTAATTTTTGTGGAGATGGGATCTTACTATGTTACCCTGTCTGGTCTTGAACTCCTGGCTTCAAGCAGCCCTCCTGCCTCAGCCTCCCAGAGTGCTGGGATGACAGGTGTGTATCACCACCATGCCTGACTGATTTTTAATTTTCCAATTTTTTTTTTTTTTTTTGAGTTGAGGTCTCTCTCTGTCTCCCAGACTGGAGTTGGAGTACACTGGCACAATCATGGTTCATAGCAGCCTCACCCTCCCTGGGCTCAGGTGATTCTTCCACGTCAGCCTCCTGAGTAGCTGAAACTACAGGCATGTACCACCATGCCCAGCTAATTTTTGATTTTTTTTGGTAGAGACGAGGTCTCACTATGTTACCCAGGCTGGTCTTGAACTCCTGAGCTCAAGCAATCCTCTCTCCTCAGCCTCCCAAAGTGCTGAGACTACAGGTGTGCACTACCACACCCAAATTTTTAAATTTTTTTTTTTTTAATCAAGGTCTTATTCTGTCACCCAGGCTGGTGTAGTGGTACAGTCATGGCTCACTGCAGCCTCAGCCTCCTGGACTTGAGCAATCCTCCTGCCTTAGCCTCTGGAATAGCTGGAACTACAGGCACGCGCCAGCACACCCAGCTAGCTTTTTATTTTTTTGTAGAGACGAGGTATCACTATATTGCTTAGGCTGATCTTGAACTCCTGGGCTCAAGCAGTCCTCTCTCCTCAGCCTTCTAGAGTGCTGGGATTACAAGTGTGAGGCACTGTGCCCGGCTAATTTTTTTTTTTTTTTTTGGTAGAGCTGGGATCTCACTGTATTGCCCAGGTTGGTCTTGAACTCCTGGACTCAAGTGACCTCCCACTTAGGCCTCCCAAAGTGGTAGGATTACAGGCGGGAGCCACAACGCCTGGCCCAGGAAGAGCTTTTTCAGTTGAGTTCTTGGGGGCTGGCATTCCAGGTAGTCTATCATAGTATCCACCTCTTGAGGGCACCTGGTTGTGGCGCGGTCTGTAGGAGATCCTTCTTGTGTGTTGGCTGCTGGGCCCTGGCTTCCTTGGGGCCTCACATCTCCTCTCACAGAGTTGGGGACCCACACATTCTGTCCCCACAGAGGTGTGCCTCAAGGACCCCATGTCTGTGGCGGACAGCCTGTACAACCTCCAGCTGGTTCAGGACTTTTGTGCCTCCCGCCTTCCCCGTGGCTGCCCACTCTCCCTCGAGGACCTTCTGTATGTCCCACCGCCCCTCAAGGTAAGGCTGTCGGGGCCTGGTGGGCTGAGGCGGGCGTCGGGGGCTGCCTGTCCCGTCGGCCGACCCTGCCGTCTGCCTCCAGGTCAACCTAGTGGTGCTGCTGGCCGAGATGTTCATGTGCTTTGAGGTGCTCAAGCCCGACTTTGTGCAAGCCAAGGACTTGCCTGATGGTCACGGTGAGGCCTGGGCCTGGGCTCTGGGTGGGGGTCGGGGGCCAGGCCCTGTCTGACCCTCTTCTCTGTGCCACAGCCACCTCCCCCCGGGCCACCGAGGCTTCCCCCTCTCAGAACAACAGTGGCAGCAGGTATGGTTCCCCTGCTGCGTGAGTCTCCAATGCCGTGGGGGCTGCTTCTGGGGGAGGGTGCCTTTGTCTCCGTCCCTGGGGAGAGATGAGGAGGGGGTGGGGGTCCCAAGACTGAATTCCGTCTCTCGGCAGTTCTCCCGTCTTCAACTTCCGCCACCCGCTCCTGTCACCTGGCGGTCCCCAGTCCCCACTCCGAGGGTCTACAGGTGAGGAGGGGGTGGCTTCTGTCACAGGAAGCCCCACCAAAGACTGCCCCATGGATCTCATGCTGCCTCCTCATGAGCTTCCTTTGGGTCCCCCTTGGATATCCCGTGGTGACCCCCAGAACGGCCACCCCAGTGGCTTCGTAGCACTCCTTGGCGATGCTGAATGGCCCCCAGGTATCCCTTCCTAGAATCCTCTGGCCTGACTAGACCACACAGTGGCCCATCAGTGACTCACCCAGTGACCTTGCAGAAGTTGCCCCAGACCCTCGCCGACCCCACCCAGGGCCTCCCGTGACTCTGTAATGACCACTCGCCACTCTCTCCCCCCAGGCTCCCTGAAGTCCTCCCCGTCCATGTCCCACATGGAGGCCCTCGGCAAGGCCTGGAACCGCCAGCTCAGGTGAGGCCAGGATACCAGTGGGGCAAGCAGGGGCGGGGTGGGGCCAGGGCCAGTCCCAGGGGCTGACGCCTCCATCCGGCCGCCCAGCCGTCCCCTCTCCCAGGCTGTGTCATTCAGCACCCCCTTTGGCCTGGACAGCGACGTGGACGTTGTCATGGGAGACCCTGTCCTCCTCCGCTCCGTCAGCTCCGACAGCCTGGGCCCCCCACGTCCTGTGCCTGCCCGGACTCCCGCCCAGCCGCCCCCGGAGACCGGCGACCTGCCCACCATCGAGGAGGCCCTGCAGATCATCCACAGCGCTGAGCCACGGCTGCTGCCGGACGGAGCCGCCGACGGCAGCTTCTACCTCCACTCCCCCGAGGGACCCTCCAAGCCCCCCCTGGCATCTCCCTACCTGCCCGAGGGGGCTTCCAAACCACCGTCCGATGGGTCCTCCAAAGTGCCCGTCTACCTGCCGCACCCCGAGAGCCCCTCAAAACCATCTCCCTGTCCGGCGGGGGAGGTATTGAAACCGCCCGCCCCGTCTGAGGGGTCCCCGAAAGTGGTGGCTTTGTCCCCGGCAGCCGCCAACTCTGAGGTGAAAATGACCAGCTTTGCTGAACGCAAGAAGCAGCTGGTGAAGGCAGAGGCTGAGGCCGGAGCGGGGTCCCCCACGTCCACGCCAACCCCGCCAGAGGCCCTGAGTTCAGAGATGAGTGAGCTGGGAGCGCGCCTGGAGGAGAAGCGCCGGGCCATCGAGGCCCAGAAGCGACGGATTGAGGCCATCTTTGCCAAGCACCGCCAGCGACTGGGCAAAAGCGCCTTCCTGCAGGTGCAGCCTCGGGAGGCCTCAGAGGAGGCAGAGGCTGGGCCGGGCCCAGCCCCTGGCGGAGAGCGGCCGGCGGGTGAGGGCCAGGGAGAGCCGACCTCCCGGCCCAAGTCGGTGACCTTCTCACCGGAGCTGGGCCCACTGCCTCCCGAGGGGCTGGGCGAGTATAACCGGGCAGTCAGCAAGCTGAGTGCAGCACTGAGCTCATTGCAGCGGGACATGCAAAGGCTCACGGACCAGCAGCAGCGGCTCCTGGCCACCCCAGAGGCTCCCGCTCCTGCCCCGCCCCCCGCTGCGTGGGTCATCCCCGGCCCCACGACGGGGTCCAAAGCTGCATCCCCCAGCCCCGCCCGGCGTGCCCCAGCCCCCCGACGCAGCCCTGGGCCTGGCCCCAGCCCATCACCCCGCAGCCCCAAACACACGCGGCCAGCTGAGCTGCGGCTGGCACCCCTGACCAGGGTGCTGACACCACCCCATGATGTTGACAGTCTCCCCCACCTGCGCAAGTTCTCACCGAGCCAGGTGCCTGTGCAGACACGCTCCTCCATCCTCCTGGCAGAGGGGACGCCCCCCGAGGAGCCCACCCCTCGGCCCGGCCTCATTGAGATCCCGCTGGGCAGCCTGCAAGAGCCCCCCGCTGAGGATGAGGGGGATGGGAGCCCCCCTGGTGCTGAGGATTCCTTGGAGGAAGAGGCATCCTCGGAAGGGGAGCCCCGGGCTGGGCTGGGTTTCTTCTATAAGGTGAGAGGGCTGAGCTGGTGGATGGAGAATCAGGAAGAGGGCACTTCCTGGGCATGGTGGGTGGGTGAATGGAGAGGTGGATGGCAGATGGTGGGAGAGATAGGGTTTTACTAATGGATGGGTAGCCAAATGTCAACAGACAGGCAAGAGGGTGGTCAGATGGACATAGTTACAGGGAGCAGGGATAGATAGAGGAAGGTAGATGGGTAGAAGAGTGGACAAGTGGTTGGTTGGATGGTCAGATGGATGGATAAGTGGACGGATGGGTGGATGGGTGGATGGATGCATGGATGGGATGAATGGATGGATGGATGGTCGGATGGATGGATAAGTGAATGGATGGGTGGGGTGGATGGATGGTTGGTTGGATGGATGGATGGTCGGTCAGATGGATGGTTGGCTGGATGAATGGATGACTGGATAGATGGTCAGTTGGATGGATGGATGGATGATGGATGGATGAGTGGATGGAAGATCGGATGGATGGATGGATGGTCGGTCGGATGGATGGTTGGTTGGTTGAATGGTTGATTGGTTGAATGGATGGATGATTGGTTGGTTGGATGGATGGATGGTCAGTTGGATGAGTAGATGGATAGATGGATGGATGAGAGGGCGGATGGATGAGTGGATGGATGGATGTTCTGATGGATAGATGGGTGGTTGGTCAGATGGATGGATGGTCAGTTGGATGGATGGATGGATGATGGATGGATGAGTGGATGGAAGATCGGATAGATGGATGGATGGATGGTCGGTCGGATGGATGATTGGTTGGATGGATGGATGGTCGGTCAGATGGATGATTGGATGGATGGATGGATGGATAGATGGATGGTTGGTTGGTTGAATGGTTGATTGGTTGAATGGATGAATGGTTGGTTGGATGGATGGATGGTCAGTTGGATGAGTAGATGGATAGATGGATGAATGAGAGGGCGGATGGATGAGTGGATGGATGGATGGACAGATGGGCCTGTGGGTGATGGATGGTTGGACAGGAGTGATGAATGGATGACAGGGTTAGGGTCTTCTAGGCCATCCTCTCCCTCATGCTGTCTCCTTCACCCCCTCCCCCTGGCACAGTCCTGCCTGGCCCTGTCCCATGTCTATTCATTCTCCATTCTCATAGCACCCCCAGTCAGGGCCACCATCATGGGGGCATTGCCTGCCCCTCCTTGATCTTAGAACAAAAGTCCTCCCCAGGGTTCTGCCGACCTCTGACCTGGTCCTGTGCCAGTGGCTCCACACCCCCTGCTAGGTTTGTTCTGGCCTCAGGGCCTTTGCACCAACTGTTCCTTCTGCCTGGAAGGCTCTCCTCACCCCTTACACCTATGCAGTTCTGTCCTTCTCATCATTCTGCGGGCGTGCTTCCTCCAGGAAACCCTGCTTGGTGTCCCCAGGCCGGGATAGGGCCCGCCCTGCAATGTAGACTGGAAGTACCCAATACCGAGGGGTTCCATGTTCACTGCTTGTCTGTGCTGCATTTGATTGTCTTTCCCATTGGGTTAAGCACTTTGTGTGAGCAGCACCCAGGTCTATCCTGGGTGTGAGTACCCACCTGTGTATAAAATAGGTGCTAACTGTATACCTTTAGAATAATTATGAAAACAAAAGAACAAGTAAGTGGCTGGCAGACTGGGTGAGATGGGACTCCAGCTGTGCCAGGGAAGGGGTGGCCAGCCGGACTCAGTGTCTGTCCCAAGGATGAAGACAAGCCCGAGGATGAGATGGCCCAAAAGCGGGCCAGCCTACTAGAACGGCAGCAGCGGCGGGCAGAGGAGGCGCGGCGGCGGAAACAGTGGCAGGAAGCAGAAAAGGAGCAGCGGAGGGAGGAGGCCACGAGGTGAGGCTGTGCCCGGGCCAGGCGCCCCCACCCTCGGTCTGCCTGCCATCAGGGACCCCACGACTGGCTCTGTCTGCCGATTCCCCATGATCTGCAGGCTGGCCCAGGAGGAGGCCCCCAGCCCGGCCCCTGCGGCCCCCATGGTGATCCCGGCCCCTGCTGCCCGGGCCCCGGCTGAGGAAGAGGTGGGCACCCGGCGGGGGGAATTCACACGGCTCGAGTACGAACGCCGGGCCCAGCTCAAGCTCATGGATGACCTCGATAAGGTGCTGCGGCCCCGGGCCGCGGGGTCCGGGGGGC